TCATTTAATTTTAATTTGTTTTCAAAATTTATTCATTATATATCCTGATTGAAGCTTTCCCTCAACTGCTCAAAGTCCCATTCTTCCTCCCTCTTCCCCTATATACCCTTATCCTAGTCCACTGAACGGGCGAGTTCTCCTCCTTTGCCATCTGCCCATAGCCATTGTTCCCCTTACCTGGGAATCCACATGGAGACTGAACTGCCAATTGGCTACATCTGAGCAGGGAATCTAGGTCCTCTCCATGCCCAGTCCTTGGTTGGTGCATCAGTCTCTGAAGGACCCCCTAGACTCAGATTTTTTAGCTTTGTTGGTCTCCTTGTGGGGGTTCCTGTCTTGTCCATGTTCCTCTATCCCTACCCACCTCTTCTTCCATAAGACTCCCTGCACTCTGCCCAAATTTTGGCTGTGAGTTTCAGCATCTGCTTCAATCCTCTGTTGGGTGGAACCTTTCAGAGGACCTTCTATAGTAGGCTCCCATCCTGTTTCCTCTTTCCACTGCTTCCAGTGTTTGCCATTCTGAATGAGATTTAAGCATCTTCTCTAGGGTCCTCCTTAGTGTTTAGCTTCTTTAGGTCTGTAAATTTTAGTATGTGTATCCTATATTATATGGCTAATATCCACTTATAAGTAAGTATATACCATGTTTGTCTTTCTGTTTCTAGGTTACCTCACTCAGGATGATCTTTTTTAGTTTCTACTATTTGCCTGCAAATTTCATGATTTCCTTGTTTTTAATAGCTGAGTAGTATTACATTGTGTAAATGTGCCACAATTTCTATACCCATTCCCCTGTTGAGGGACATCTAGGTTGTTTCTAGATTCTGGCTATTATGAATAAAGCTACTACAAACATAGTTGAACAAATGTCCTTGTTGAATGGTGGGGCATCTTTTGGGTGTATGCCCAGAGTGGTATAGCTGGATCTTGAGATAGTGCTATGCCGGAGAACGTCTGCAGAATCGAACAGTATCTGAGTGGGGAGTGAGGACTGAAATAAATAAAGCAAGTCACATGTGATCAGCTTGAGAGGACTGTCAGTAAGAACTGCAGCCTCGAGTTTATTCCACAATTCCTTGCTATAAGCAAAGCAAGAACAAGTCACTTCAATACAAGAAAGAAGTTCATGGAATTACCAAACTTGTTTCTTAAACCACTTCCCTATAGCACATATGGTCCAAGGTCACACAAACAAGTTTAAGGAACTTGGTGAAACATCCTGCTTATCTCTGTCTCAGGGTGAAGGCCAGGGTGAAAACGTATTTTTTGCTGAATACTCAATAACAAAGCAGCTTGACAAACAAGCAGCTCTCCACAGTGCTATTTGCAATTTTTTGAGAAAGCACCAGATTGATTTCCATAGTGGTTGTACAAGTTTGCACTCCCACCAGCAATGGAGGAGGGTTCTCCTTTCTTCTTGTGCTCTCCAGCATGTGTTGTCACTTGAGTTTTGTTTTTTTTTTTTTTTATCTTAGCCATTCTGACTGGTGTCAGATGGACTCTTAGAGTTGTTTTGATTTTCATTCCCCGATAACTAAGGATTTTGAGCTTTTCTTTAAGTGTTTCTCTGCCATTCAATATTCCTCTGTTGAGAATTCTGTGCTTAGCTCGTACCACATTTTTAAATTTTACTATTTGGTTTGTTGGTGTCTAATTTCTTAAGTTCTTTATATATTCTGGATATTTAGCCCTCTATCTGATGTAGGGTTGATAAAGATCTTTTCCCAGTCTGAGGCTGCCATTTTATTCTGTTGACAGTGTCCTTTGCTTTACAGAAGTTTTTCAGTTTCAAGAGGTCCCATTTATTAGTTGTAGTTCTTTTAAGGCAGGCCTTTTATACAAAAAAACTGTAACAACAAGTGTAGGAAGCAAGGAGGGGCAAGCAGCATTTTATACCATTTTGACTAGCTAAACATAATTGATTTTGTTCCAAATGTATTGTATTGTGTTAGGTAGCTAGATAAAGCATTTTAAACTGATTGACTGAGATTCAGGGTAGAGGAGCTCTTGGGGGATTTCCAGCTTTCTGGGAGTAAGGAACATAGCTGGATGTTTCAATCTTGCTCTAACCGAATATACATTTAATTCAAGCAGGACATGCATTTATAATCTATTGTTTTATTCTAAGCAGCAAATATTGAACTATTGAATTGTATCCTGGTCTCATGCATGTAGGGTATGAGATTTTGAACTTAATTTCAACTTATAATCAAAATGGAGACTTGGAGGCAAATGGCTTCTGATATGCAAGATAGGAAAGAGCAGGTGATAACATAGGAGCCACAGTTATGCTAAGAACTAAAGTAGGTCTCTTCTGAGGGGCTATGGAGCTTAAGTACATTAAGCAGGTTACAACACTGTGACAGTAAATATAGTCTTTTTAAACTGTCCCCATGATTAATTAAAGAACGAAAACACAAAAATATGTGAGGAAGTCCAAAGCCAAGATGGGCTGCACAGGCTCAGATAAACATCCTGAACATGGGGTTCTCTCTTGGCCTTAGCAGTGTAGTTAGAGCCGTGCAAGTCATAAAGATTTCCATACTTTTTATTCTAATTGCAGTCTCTTCCCTGTTTTTAGTGTTTATTTGTTTGCTTTTTATTTTTTAAGGAAGGCCTCCCTCAGCTCTCTGTCATAGTAGTTTCAGTTGTCACTTTGGCACACTGGAAGAAGAAATCTCAAATGTGCCCTAGAGCAGAATTTAATTCATTATATGCTTCTGGGAGAAGCTATATTCCAATGGGATACTATACTATTAAACTAATGTTTACTATTTTAAGTATAATAACTCACAGTGCTAATTTGTGATTAGTATTGTTTTAAGATATATAAATTATGTATGTCTATTCCTGTTACAAAGTAAATTAAATCTTTCAAGTTTGAAGGATAGTGTAGGGAATTTTGTTGTTGTTTGTTGTTTTTTTGTTTTGTTTTATTCTTTCCAAAATTTTGTTAACAAGTAGTTCTTTTTCCCTGGCAAGTGAGCCTAGAGAAGCGGCTGCCTCCATTAAACGCCATTACTCAGCTCCCCAAAGCGGTGGGTAAAGCCCCAGCTTTACCACTTAGTGAGAACCTTAGGCTTACTTCTCCAAGATCTGGACACTTAATCCATAAAGTAAAAATAACAACACCTCTGTACAGACCAGTTATAAAACTTAAATATACCTAGCCCTTCAAAGCAGTAAATATCCATTGGACAGAAGCCATTTTTTCTGCACTCTGTGACTAAACCATGGAGCTGTGTGTCCAGGCCTTGGGAGTCATTTCACCTAGTATAAAGCCAGGCCAGCACTTCTGGAATTGGAGACAGGATGAATGTGTTGCAACCTATGGTCAAGATAAGAAAGTAGATTCTGTGTTCCTTGTGACAGCTTTTATGTTGTAGGACTAAGGAGGACATGCTGTTCCAAGAACCTCGGATTTGGCTCTATCACAATTAATCTGTATATCAATCTTGTATGGCATGTACAGTAACTTTCTATGGGTTTTCTTTCTGTAGTTGAGGTGACATCCCAGGACCTACAAAAGGGACTCTTCTAACCATATTAGGTGCTTAAGACAACAGATAAGGAAGGGCGTGCCTTACACCCACACTTGTGAGTTCTTCCTGTTCCCTGCCACAGTGGCTACACTGAGACTGTTTACTGCCTTCACAGGAGCTCACATTAAGTTACTTATTGTTTGAAGTTTCCAGAAAACTAGTTTGGTTCAAGAGACTAATTTGCATAGTAACTTAAATGGGTGTGACAGGTAGACCCCATGACAGACTTAACTGGTTAGCAGGCAGTAAAAATGATGACATAGAATTTGTCTTGAAGCTCAGGGACAAAGTCCAACTCTCTCTCTTCCCTTTGGAGAGGGAATGGAGAAGGCAGCTTAATCAGGGTGCTACCCATGGGACAGGAGTGAGGCTGGAGCTTAAGACAGGGCAGGAAATCTTGAAGCTATAGGAGGAGGAAAAGCAAAAGTCAGGCAGGGTGGCCAATGCTCAAAAGACAGAAAATGTAGAACATTAAGTTTGGGGGTCTAGCACTAAGACAAACTTTTAAAAAAAGGAAAGAAAAAAAAGCAGAGAACACACAGAATTAAACCCAGTAGAGGAGTGGCAAATAGAAGAGAGCAACAGCATTTCTGAAGTTTTCCAGAATACCATGTAATGTCTTGATGTGGGAACAGCAAGAGGTGTTGGGGGCCTCAGGTTTGTGGGTAAGCACAGATGAAGGGAGTTGGAGAAAGGCAGCTAACAGGGAGGTCAGCTATTTTCTGAACCCAGGCAGATTTGAAACTAACTTGGTTAGTTTGGTTTAGCTCCTCACTGCAAATGGAAACTGCATTCTCTCTTCTCCCCAAAGGAGAGGCATGCCTTTTTCTCTTGGATTTTTGGACAGTTTAGATCACTAAAGTTTATGGAAGGGGTGTACCTTGGTAACCAGATAGAGAGTCAGGTATAGTGTAAATGATGTAGGAAGACAAATTATCTTACCAGAAACGCTGGCCCCTCCCATTAAGAGTGATACCTCATTTTCCTCTAAGTAAATCTGGGCTGGTCTTCATGATTCACCTAATTGATGGAATGTGACAAGATGATGTTATAGTCTACTTAGATCTTTTAGAAACTTGTCCTTCAGAAAACTTCCTCTTAAAACCTTACCAACCGTGCTATAAGAATCCCAAGACAGGTATGAGGCATTCCAGATGAGCTCCTGGATCACAGCCAATATTAGCCACTGACACTCACATGAGCAAGCCATCCTGAGTGCTCACCCATACGAGCCTGGGGATGACTGTACAAATGAAACATAGCAAAAGATAACTGCTAAGACAAGCTCTTCTGAAACCTCTGACCCAAAGAATCATGATTTATCCTCTGGAGCTGGGAGGTAATTTGTTATACAGCAATAGCTAACCAGAATCCCCACTTCCATGACATTCTTAACTGCAAGAAATCACCTTCCTAAATTCCTACACTAGCCAATAGAAGTAACAGTGGACAGTAACAATGGTGGATCAAAAAGGCTTCCAAGTAGAGACTTCATTTGAAGGTCAGCCTGCTAGTCCTTTAGTAATATTAGCAAGATGTTCCCAAAAGCGAGACTGGACCAGCCAACTCTGGGCCACCTCAACATAAGCTTGGGAATCAGGTTACACCAGCTACTATTCCCTGGAGCCAGAGGCAGCACAAGGACTCTTGCCTGTAGGTTTCAGGTCCCTCTCTTTCACAACTTGCAAATCATGTAAACTGATCTCTGCCTTGCTATTTCCACCTGTTCCCAAGAAGAGCATGAAAGAGGAATAAATATGAAAGGCTGAGTTATAGTGCAAAAACTCAAATACTTTAATAATTATACTTTAACAGAAAGCTCCTAAGATATGGCTAACAAAAAGGTCAGTTCCTATGCTGTAACTGAGAAAATAATATCCATCAAAGAAAAAAACTTAAAGATAGTTGTGGTATTAAAATATTTGATTCTGGGCTGGCAAGATGGCTCAGTGGGTGAAAGTTCTTGCATCCAAGCCTGATGGCTTGAGTTCAATCACCTGAACCCAATAGTAGAAGGAGAGAACCAACTCCAATTCCACATACATGCTGCGACTGCATCTACCTACACACCTCTCTCTGCTCCCCTCCAACACACAGTATCAGAGAGAAAACTTTAAAACATAGATGACATAAAACATCTGATTCCCTATATTATGCAAATATACCCAAACAACAACAATAATAATAATGTTTAAATAATGGATGATTTTAGTCACTAAATGCTTCCTTGGCTAGAATGAGAGTTGATAGTTCTCAATTGATAGTTTCCTAGAGATGGTCCAGTTTTATTTACCCAGTGTGTTTAGAGAATAGCCATAACTTAGTGACATGGAAGAAACAGATATTATAGGTGATAATGACATAAACATTTATGTTTTAATAATAGATCTCCTCCCTCGTTGATTGAATTATTTGAACAAAAACATATATAAAGAATTCTGATCACAACTTATTATGTTTGTCTTTGATAGAGCTGCCAATAGTTAAACACTATTTATATATAACCTGTGACATATATCAGCTCTTTTTTTCCTTTTTAAAGATTTATTTATTTTATTATATATACAATGTTCTGCCTGCATGTACACCTGAACGCCAGAAGAGGACACCAGATCTCAATATAGCGGTTGTGAACCACCATGTGGTTGGCAGGAATTGAACTCAGGACCTCTGGAAGAGCAAGCAGCGCTCTTAAACTCTAAGCTCTCTCTCCAGCCCCATATATCAGCTCTTACCCTTAGACTAAATGTGGCATCCCATTTTATGATTGGAGCTAGTGAGGCTGAGAGAGGTAAAGATTTGACTAGGCTACTTGGTAAATAACTTCCAAAATTGAGCTTCAAATCCAGATGGTATGACTTCACAGTAGGACTGCTGTGTTTTCGTTTCAACTCATTGCCTTCTTATTGTTGTAGCCACCACGATGTATATTCATTTTTATTTCCGTATATTTAGTCTTTAAACTTGCACAGAAACAAACTCTAAGCACCCAGAGCAGTGGCAGTACTGACAGGCACAAAGCCTGCCATAGGACTGAATGGAAAACAAGCTTCATGAAGCAGTCCTTAGGTACTGTGCAAAGCACAAAGTACAAAGGCACTTTTTTCCTACAGATTACCTTTCCTCCATGTCAGAGATTCCAACTCCCCCAAAAGCACAGGACACTGAGAGTGTTTACAAAAGAAACCGAGAGGAAAACCACCTGGCATGGAAAAGGTAGGCAATAGATGTGTGTCAGTTTGAGTTTGATTTGAAGAATTCAAAACTTTTTTTTTTTTTTGCTTAATTTCTTATAAGAATTCTGTATCTTCAGATTTGATTCATTTTGTTGTGCTAATAACTGTGTGAAGGTTTCTGTGCCTTTGTTTCTGATAAACCCAATATGAGATTCTAAATTTACCTGATAGTTTCAACCTCATTGTGGAAGCAAAGATTTACAGCTGCAATATCCAAAACATAATAATTTCATGATTATTTCTTAGTTAAGTAATAAACATAAATCCTATGGCAGTATAAGGCTGCCTCATATCTTCTGGTGTACACAGGTTTTTATTGTTATTCTAATTAAATAATTTATGTAGATAGCTTCAAAAGAAGGAAATGTAATTCACATTAAGTTTAGAAACAGACTTTACACTTGATTAAATAAGACACACTACAAGATATTAGAAAGAAATAAGCATATATCAAATAAATGGGTGCATTATATATTACATTCTGTTTCCTGTTACTATATCTAGTAATATTTAATGCATTTCTTTATTTGATCTGATTATATAACATATACTGATATGTACATGTTGTGTTGGTTTTTCCTACTTGGCCCCAAGCTCCTGGAATAATGACTCAGACTCAAAATATATTTACAAATACCTAGCTTAGCAAACAGCTAAGCTCAAACCCTGATTGGCTCGTAATTTAATAACTTATATTCTAATCAAAGTTCTGCCATGTGGCTGGTTACTTCTGCTCAGGTCTTCATGTCTTTCCAGGGGAATGTTCTGGCTCTATTCCAGAATCCTTTCTGCTTCTACATGTCCTACCTTCTAGTCAACCCTTTCCTATATGCTATAGATTTTTTTTATCAACAGGTGTTGCATCCGTTCAATACACAAGATATTCTCTCTACATGTGCATATATAAGTCACATAGATATAATGGATTTACTATTTGATATTATATATGTAATATATTTTGTGTACATCAAGCAAATTCTGCCAAGAATAGTCATTGCAATGTGAATAAAAGTGTCTATAGATTTCAGGATTCCAGCTAACTTGATTTCTTTTTCTTTATCCGTGTTTTAATTATCCTGAGTTTTCATAACTGTGTATATTTTTAAATATATTTTTTAAAATTGAAAGCCATGCATTAATATAGTAATCTGCCAACTATAGTCTTTTTCAAAAGCTATGCATTGAATGTACTCAGTGTACAAACTGGTACCATGTTGTTTTTCCAAACTCCTAGTTTCACTTCATAAATCCCACGACTACACTGACTTCAACTTGTTGAGATCAGGCTCTGTCATGCCCTAAGTTGCTCCATGTTATATGAAACAATAATTTTCAGACTGTGTCTTGCCTTAAAGACTGTTTTACAGGCAGCTTGTGACTCTACTTTGAGTGTGAAGGATGACACTGTACCTGGGTAGACATGTGATCACACCATCTGTCTGGCACCATTCCTGGAGCACAGCTTGATAAACGAGTATTCCCTATAAATTTATCTGGGAAAGTTGGGACTGTAGTAGCATATAAGCTTGTGTCAGGAAAAAACAGGCCTAAGAACTTATCAGATACAGTAGTCAGAGGAAAGGGTATGACTCCCTCACCTGAACCCTCTATAAAGGTTGGCACTGAATGTAATAGTTCTGGTTTGTGACTGCAACATCATGTCTTATGGGCCTGAGGACTCCAGAGATAGAGTGCTCAGCTAGGTTCCTTCCAAGCAGCAAAGACTGTATACTTTTAAATAATAACAGACCAGGAGTTAGCAAGATGGCTCAGCAAATAAAAGTGCTTGCCACCAAGCCTGATAACCTGAAACCCACATGGTAGAAAGAGAAGTGATTTTACACATTGCAATTTGACCTGCACATGCATGATCTAAGCCTTCCATCTTGGAAGGAAGCTCATTAGACACAGGATCGGGGGGGGGGGCTGTAAAACAGGATATTTTAAGACAGAATTTTAAAGGGATATTCTAAGGGGGAGCTCATTAATCCAAAGAATGTTTACAGGGAAACCTAATAAGCTCGTGGAGTAAAATCAATGGTTTTAGGAAGTTCCTGAAACTGATCAGATTCTGGAGGCCAGTGATTGTCAACCTTCCTAATGCTATGACCCTTTAATACAGTTCCTCATGTTGCGGTAATCCCCTCAATCATAAGATTATTTTAGTTGCTACTTCATAACTGTATTTTTGCTCCTGTTATGAATCATAGCATAAATGTTAGTATTTTCTGATGGTCTTAAATGATCCCTTCACCGCTCCAGGCCCTTCTCTCCCCAAGCATATATAAGCAGTACAGACTATTGAATGATACTCTCAGATAAGCTGAGCTGTCTAGAAGAAGCGGAAACTAACAAAGGTGCCTAAAAAACAGGCTCAGACCAATAGAGCTCTCCTAACAGGATACTCTCCAACCTATTGAGCTGTTCACAAGCAGTGTGGTATGTTCCAGATTTCCAACACTGAGTCATTGCTGTTCCTGGAAGGAACCCCAGTAAGACTCATTGGTTCACCTAGTTGGATTTGGGTAGTGTTATTACTTTGTTCCATCATTACTTCCCTACTTGGGGTGAGTAGATGTTTTTTCATGTCTTCCCAGGAATAGTGTCATACAACATGCACTGTGATATGACTCCCCCCAAATAAATATAATTTTAAAAATAATAAAACAAACGGCTACAGTACAACAAGAACAATAGTGTGAAAAAGGTAACTTCTTTCCCCCTGGTTCTCAAGATGACTGCTTTCTTCCCAGTGCATGATTCTCTCATAGAATCATGCAATTATCTAAAGGTCATCAAGCAGAAGACCTTTGATCTGTGGAGCATCAACTGACATCATGAATGTTGTCCAGACAGCTATTGGTCTTGCTGGGGCCTATCCCTAACTGCACCCCAGCACCATGAGTCTCCTCTCTCACCATCACAGTGATGGCTCCGCCCACCGGTGGTCTGAACCATGTGGTGTGTTTATGTGTCAAAGGACCAGGAAACTGACTGCCCTAGGGACTTGGCTCAGTGTCTGCTGTTAACACTGCCTACTTACTTGCTACCTGCCTGTCTTGTTTGCACTTCTGGACATTCCATCCATTCATCCACTCCCTGTCCTCACATATTTTGCCCTTTCACCTGAGCAGCTGGACTCGGCTCTGCTGTTTTGCTCTCAAAGCTGTGATCCAGCGTCAGTCTGACTCAGCACCAGCAGCTTCTCCAACAGAGCTAGAGTAATTAATTTGTTTATATAATATTCAGCCCTGCAATGCTGTAACAATGATTAAAGTAATAAGCTGAAGGGGGTGGTAGCAGGAACTCAACTAGTAAAAGCAGAAATGTGTCAGTAACTCAGGTCAGCTTCTCACAGGAAAAAAAAAAATCCTGAGACAGCAATCTTGGAAAAAGCAGGTTCCCCAATTGTCAGAAACAACAGCAAGGAAGCCAAGAAAGCACAGAACTGGACAGAGGAAAAGCTGAGACACAGAAGCTGCAGATGTCTCCATTGATCCTGAGATCTCCAGAGCTGAGATGGGATTTCAGAATTCCTAAACAAGATGGTCCTGGTGGCACACACCTTGAATCCCAGAATCTGGGAGGCAGAGCCAGGCAGAATTCTCTGAGTTTAAAGTCAGCTTGATCTACCCAGCAGTTCAACCAGGGCTACATAGAGATACCCTGTATTAATCAATCAATCAATCAATCAATCAATCAGTCAGTCAGTCAGTTAATCAATTAATCCCAATGTCCCAAAACTATTCAAGGAATATTAGGTCCCTAAACTCTCTGAGTAGGTATTGAAAGTCAGCTGTTCTTGGGCTTGTAACTTGAGTGAGGCAACTCCCTTCTCCCAAGGACAATTTCTGGAGAATTCCTGGACAATTCAACCCTGAACCTTGTCCTCCCAGAAGCTAAAGGCAAGGGCGTCTGCTGCGGCATCACTGCCAGGACTGAGAGTGATAGGAGTAACAGGTCTCAGGAGTCACAAAAGAGGATGCTTATGTTAATGAGATCCCCTTGTTTCATGTATTTATTTTATATGGGGACAACTCCTCAGGATCCATTAATCTTCCTTTTTTTTTTCGAGCTTGCTTTCAGTTCATCCCCATCTTCTTCATTCTCCTCCTTATACCCTTCTTCTTTTTTATCATAATGTCTCCCTAAACAATCCTAGGTTGCTCTTAAATAAGCCAATCCTTTTAGCTCACTTCCCAAATGCTAGAAATACTGTCATGTGCCACAACACCTGGCTAACAATGTCCACTCCAATCTCCTCTCTTACCTCCATCTAGTGCTGCGCATGAAACCTGGGGCTTCATGGATTCCAGGCCCATGCTCTACCACTGAGCTACACACAGTCTCCCATGATTCATTTCCTGGAAAACTTGACAAAAGGAAAAACAGTGGAATGAACTTTATCTGTCAATATCACAGCTTACCTCAAGGCCATTTCTGTTACTCACTGTCTCCTATCAGGTGCCTTGCATCTCACTTTAGATTGCTCGTGTCGTCAACCCACATTTGTTGCTGCAGGTTGCTATGTCTTAGGGAAGCCCAGAATCTTACCTACAAGTGATCTGGGTCCATTGTCACCCTGTCCTCTCAGATCATAGTAGTTACATTTGCTCATTTATCATTACACTTGGAACATGGACACGAACATGGATTGAGCTTGGTGGCTCACAACTTTAATTCTCACGCTAGGAAGAGGTAGGTAGGATGAGCATGGACTACATACCAGCAGGAATCTCTCAACAAGCAGACAAAGTAACTGATCAGGGGCATTGAAGGAAAGACTGCCCACTGTCTGAGGGTTTCTATTGCTTCAGTGAAACACCATGACCAAAAAGTTGTGAAGGAAGGGGTTTATTTGGCTTACACTTCTATATTGCTGTTCATCATAGAAGGAAGTAAGGACAGGAAGTCAAACAGGGAAGGAACTTGGAGGTAGGAGCTGATGCAGGGGCCATGGAGGGGTGCTGCTTACTGGCTCACTTCCCCTGTCTTGCTCAGCCTGCTTTCTTATAGAACTCAGGGATGGCACCACCTACTACGGGCTGGGCCCTCCCCCATTAGTCACTAACTGAGGAAATGCCTTACAGCTGGATGTCATGGAGGCATTTTCTCAATTGAGGTTCTTCCTTTCTGATTACTCTAGTTTGTGTCAAGTTCACATAAAGCCAGCCAATTCATCCACTGATACATGTTGAGGGGTAGTGAGGCAGACTTTATTCAGAACCATCATGATGGCCACAGGAGATCTATTCAAAGGGATTTTACAATGGAGAAGAGAGATTGCATCCAAATCACAACTATCTCATATGCAAATAAGAACTGATAGGAGGGGTAGGATTAGAAGATGGAAGAATTACTTAGAAGAAACATTAGGCTTAGTGGGGATCTTATGGCGAAACCACCTACCTGGATTTGTGCTGAAAACAGTTGGTAGAGATTAGACATCACCTGAACAATAGCAGAGGAAAAAGAACACATTAGGAATGCAAGGTTCACAGGTGTTGTAGGAAAGGGGGTTCTTACCAAATTGACTTAGCAGAGCTCTTGTGAAGACTGGATTTTATATGGGAATGCACAGATGGGACTAGGAGACATTTTTAGAAGATGGATTAAGTGTGGCTAGGCAAAAAGTCATTTATCAGGGGCCATTCACAAACACCCAAGTGGATCATCTGAGTGTGAAACCCATTGCTTCCTGCTCATCTGTGAAAAGTAAGTGCTATTTCCTCCTGATGAGTAAGTTCAATTCCTTTCCAGGATGTTGATTCTTTTGTTCTCTACTAATCTGTCAGCACAAGAAACCCTAAGTGACTGCACAGCATTTATAGCTGGAAATTCAATGGGGCTAATTATACACACCCCTCTCAAACCACAACCTCTCATTGCTGTAACTGGGGACAAGAAGTGGGATGCTGAGGCTAAAGTGAGGACCAATCTTCCATTCCTAGCTTCTTCTCATAGAGTAGATTTTACAGCTGTGTGTGTGTGTGTGTGTGTGTGTGTGTGTGTGAGAGAGAGAGAGAGAGAGAGAGAGAGAGATGAGGTCATGATAGCATATCTGATCATTAACTTAGAGTATATCCTGTATACTGCAGTATGGAAACCACTCTGCAAAATATCATGTGCAAGTCCATACATGTCTGTCTCTTCGAAGGCCCACCTGGTTACTCTCTCAAGTCAACAGCTTCCAGAGGTGTGGCTGTGAGGAGTCCAGCAGACAAGCTGGTTCTGAAGTGAGGTTATTCCAGGTACTAGCCCTCAGATATTGACACTGCTAGGGCTCTGTGGGCAAGAAGGCAAATGTCCACACTTAACAGGTTTGATTTTAGTAAAATAAATCCCTTTCTTCACCCCAGTGTCTGATTGATGCTCTATCAGCAGGAACTCACCCCAAGACTCTGCAGATGTCAGGTTAGGGATCTGGCCTTGTTAAATGGAAATACCTGGTGTAGGGTTTATTACAGCCACATGGTCATGTGGTTTCTTAAGACAATATGCCATACCCTGGTTGCTTCTTTAAAGGCTGTCTCGAATCAACGGACCAGATCACTTTGTCTAGTTAGTTATGTTGTGACTAATTCACAGTGGGTATTTTTCTGGTAAATATTCACACATAACAATCCTTCCCATGAGCTTCATCATGTGCTTTTCACAGCACTCCTCTTGCCCAATATTTTAAATTGTCTCCTTCCAAGTTCTCAGCCTTTCCACCAAAGAGCTGTCATTGTTCATGGTTTTAGTATTTATTATCACCTTGAACCCACTTCTCTCACACAAAGCAAAAGACCAGGTACATGTACCAAAACTTTCACCAGTAGACTTCCAGTCATCAAATGTCCTTATGGCTGCCCTTAATTTGGGCTTAGCTAAAAATTTATTCTTGTTTCAATTAGAATGTAATATGTTTCCCCCAGAGGGGATTGTCTGGGGAAGAAGTAAGTCACTGAAAGGCAGGCCTTGAGGGTGATAGCTAGCCTCATTATAGCTAGAATTATCTCTTTAAGGTCAGCTGCTGAGATATAAGTAAGCTACATTGCAAGTTTCCCACTGCCATCAGTGGAGTGACCTCCACGCACATTCCTTCCCTACCACGATGGACTACATCGCCTGAATGAATAACTCATTCTTCCTTAAGATGTTCCTGTCAAGGTTTTTATCTCAGGACTTCGAAAGTAATTAATACAACTCTCTCTGCAAAGGACATTCCTAAACGAGTAAAAAGACAAGCCATGAGATGTCAGGCCTGGCATCCTGCATCTGGAATCCTAGCACTTGGAGGCAGAGGCAGGAAGGTCATCTTTAACTACAGGAGACCCTGTTTCAACATATACACCACACACTCGGGGGTTGGAGAAACAGTTCATGGACTGTAACTTGTGAATTACATGCTTGACAATGAACTTACACCAAGAATGAAGAATTCTCAAAAACCAACAGTAAGAAAATAGTTCAAGGGGCTGGAGAAATGGCTCAGCAGATTAGAATGTGTTACTACTCTTGCCAGGCCTTTAATACACTCAGGAGGCAGAGACTGACAGATCTTTGAGTTCAAGGTCAGACTGGTCTACAGAGTGAGTTCTAGGACAGCCAGGCCTACACAGAGAGACCTGTCTCAAAATCCCAAAATAAACAACAACTAAAGAGTGTATACTACTTTTGCAGAGGACGAGAGTTCAGTTGCCAACACCCATATCTTGCAGCTTGTAACTGGCTGTAACTACAATTCAGGAGATCTGATTCCCTCGTCTGGCCTCCAAAGAGACAACTGCACTCAGGTGCACACATGTATACACACACACAAACAAACACACACATGCATGCACGCACACACATAAACAAACAAAACAGTTCCACATAAAAAATGGAAACTTTTTTTGTTTAAACACTGGCTTTTACCAAAGCCAAAACAGATACTGCATGGGCAAGCAAACACATGGAAATTTGCCTGGCATCATGAGGAACATGCTGGTTTGAGTCACAGTGAGACACCACTACTCACCTATTAGATTGGCTTTAGAATTGTTCATGAGGATCTAAGAAAAATACTGTAATTTCATATACATTTATAGTGAGAATGCAAAATAATATCGGTATATCCGAAAACTGTTGGACATTTCTTTGTAAACCTATACGACCCCACTCAGACGTTTCATTGAAAAGGAATACCAGAAGAAAACAGAGATTTCCAGTTAAAAGAGTCTAAACATTTTCTAGCAGTAACCAGCTGTTTGATCTTAATCCAAAACCAGCATTTTAAAATCTGTTTTGACATAATATAGACCATCTGTTTAAAATAACTTTCTGATGATGTCACTTAAAATTGATATGCCTAAAAATGCACAGGAAAGAAATTAGACTGGTCTTCAAAGGGCTCAACATAAATTGTATATGTTGTATTTTGTATTTATTTCCCTTCATACCTTGAAATATCCATTAAGTGAAAGATACAGAGAAAAGTCTCAGTTGTGAAACTCTTAAGCCTTCCATCACTCAGCCCACTGGGGATTC